CTGAGTTTTTGTGTGTTTAGAATGATCAAAATGACCTCTATTTTTAGGTTAAAAAGTTCATATATTTGAGAGGAAATTGGATGGGGATGTAAGCTATTATCCAACAAATGATGTCATACACCTATAACTTGAAAGCCAAGGTACAAACGGGTTATTCTTCACATGGCTCATATTCTGATCTTTTGAGCTTTGCTCCTCAAGGTTTCATCCTATCCTTTGATGTTCTGATCATCCTTGGATATATTAGAGAGATTTTGCAAAAAATCACTATAACACTTTAATGCTAGAGGACAAAACCTCACTTCTCACTTTTGAAATGATCATTTTCACATGCCAGGTCATGAATCTTTGAAAATTCAGTTATGCTTTGCAGAGCACATGCTTATATGATCATTTTGGAGTTGATCTTGTAAATATTGGAGGCTTGCAAGATTTATCCCAATCGTGTGGCTTTTGAGGTTTAGCAATTATGTCTTGAAAACTAGTTGTGGCAAGGCATGTTGCAGCATTCATAACTTCTTGCTCAAGTAAGGGATTTTTATGTTCTTGATCATTTTGGAAATCTGGTATAATGTAATTTAAGTTTGATGTTTAAGGTTTTTCTTGAATCATTATGGATCATAGAGAAAAATGGTCTCAAAGTTGGCTCCAACATAAGACAGATTTTGTCTAAAAATTTTCTAAGTGTCAAAGTTCAAAAAGTATTGAAACCCTAACTTCATGGCCTCACATCTCAAAATATATGTACCTTTTAGGAATCAACTCACATTGATAAAGTTTTAATATATAAAAAGATCTTCAATTTGATCTTTGGATCAAAGAAAATGGTTACTTGGATTGGAAGTTATGGTTTTGCAAAGTTTGCACCAAATCAGGGTTTTCTCATAACTTTCTAATTCTTTATGGTTGCCCTTTTTTATATGTAACCTATATTTTATTGATTTTATTTGATCAATCATGATATAAATCAAATATTATCATCATTATTGACTTGAAGAAACCATGGTTGACCAAGAACTTCAAAGTCAAACTTAATTTTGACTACAATTGACTTTTGTATCAGACGAATTTTGATTTTGTGATCTTCTATTGATATCAAACCCTTGGCCTATTTGAATAACATGGATGGAATCCAAGGGTGTTTTTAAGTTTCTTGAGTCATGTCCCAATATTTGAGATCATGTCTTGGTCAAAAGTCAAAAGTACAATTGACTTTTCATCAAAAACCCTATTTTGTGGTCTAGATGAATTTGAACCCTTGCATTGCTTATGAATCGAGTTCTTTGGATCAATCCAATCATATGGATGGACTAATATGAGGAATTTGAGGTCCTTGAAAAATATCTTAAGGTATTGGATCATGCCTTGCTCCAAAAGTCAACGTCAGAGACTAAATTAGGTCAAAACCCTAATTTTGATGCACTGAGGATCTTGATGCTTAATGAGCTTGTCATGATACAATCTTGCACTTGATTATGGATGAATGAAATATATTGATTCTCATGAATTAGTTGGGTACTTGATATGTTAGGTATGATGCACATCTTTTGATCAATCATCTGCTTGAGCTCTTGAGGGACCACCTAACTTGTAAAGCAAACAAGCACACACACACACACACACACACATGTTGTACTTGTCGTGGGTTAGTGATGCATAAAGAACACATATGTGTTATGTAAATGTGGTGAATGAAGTGACATCTTAGGGGTAAAAAATTAGGGTATGACAACAACACACATGACTTTAATTTACCCTTTTTAACTTTTTACATTTTGAACAAGACTTTGGTGTATTCATGTAAATTGTAGATCTCGATGTTAGATTTAATTTTAATACACATGTCACTATATGACCAAAATACTACACAGTAGTTACACAAATGAAATGCAGAAATCTCTCAGATGATATAAACTAGCTAATAGTTCTCTTATGCTACACCCTAGGAACATTGAGAATGTAGATAATTATAACCATATACATATAAATGACAACAATCGAATGTTAATCCTCGAGTTTTATTTGTAGAGTAACTATTCCTTGATAATCAAAACCCAAATATATATGAACTATTCATCTTTCATTCGATGCATCATGTTTCGTAAGTTAAGATAACGCGTCAGACATGTTCTAACTCATAACACGTCGCATTGTACTCGAGGCGCGCCGCGATATTTCCAGTAGTTGGCCATGTATTTTTACTTCACATAAATGCAAGGTTAAATGGTTTATTTCTTCATAATTCTTATTTTCTTCAAAAATTTTGTTTAAGTCTCGCTACAGGTCTTATCATCATAACTTCCACCATAAAAATATTGTAGAACTTGTTTGGTTAAAGTGATTTTGAATTAAACTGAGATTTTCTACAATGTCTTGAATGTTGTCCCCCTTTGTCTTGTTTCATGCAAAATTAACTAAAAATACAATTAAAATACTCGAAATTGATAGAAAAACACAATATGATATTATCATAACTTTTTGGTCCTTTTAGTTTTTATTCTTTTCAATTTAGTCCTTTAAATCCCCTAACTTTTTCAACGTTGGCCAAAAATAATATTTTTGTTACAAAAACAGTCACAGGTTATTAACGTTCTGACGTGGCTGTAAATGTCCAGATGTGGTCACAAAATATTGTCTATTGACTATGCTGGTCTATTTAAACAAAATTTAGGATATTTTAATAAAAATATTAAAATTAAAAGATTCAGGTAAAGTATTCCCAAAGCGAGATTAGGGTTCCAACAAATCTTAATTTGTCTATTATCAATAAAAAAGATAATGAAAGACAAAAAATATGATTTATTGGATCTATTTTCTCTATGACAGGCTTTGTTAAAACTCTTTAAAAATTAAGAAAAGTTTTGGATTATTATTTCCTAGTATCAAATTGATCACATAATTATAGATATCTACTGACAGCTCAATTGTGGAAGCTAAAATTTTCCTCACTTACAAAAACTCAAGAGACCTGTACTCATTTATAAAATTAGGATAAGTACTTTTTAATTTCTCTTGCTTCAATATGATTATTATAGTCAAGAGTCATAAGCTCTTTTGGGAAGTCAATCTTAGCATAATCATGCTTTGGTTGAGACTTACTCTTACTTCATTTAAATTTAACTAGTTAAAATACATGATAAAACATTTAGCGTAAGATTATACGAGCTTTCACAACTTTACAATTTCAATTCCTTCTTAATTTAACTTTGTTTACCTATTTCAACTAGAACTTTGAACACTTTATCTTGTGATTGCTTCTTGATTGATGATGCTTATGATTTATTATTTCTTATCAGTTGTCATCATCAGAACCTTTAAAAGACATTGACCAACATAACACATAGAACAATACTTACATGGAGACAAACTTGCAATGTTTCAACAAAGCAGTAACCCACCCTCAGAGCTTTATCAAAATTTTTGTTACCTTTGGAGAAGGAAATGGTGCTAGAACAATAAACATCTAGCTTCTGGTAGTTCCATACTCATCACGAGCTCCTTACCACATTGGATTCTCTATGTGGTTTGGAGTTTTTGGAGGTTGGTAACAATTTCGGTCCAAAAGACTAAAATGACGCTGGAGGAAGATGTTGTGGTGGAACAAAAAGTTATTTTCACATACGGTGATACTATTTTGTACTTGAGCATAAAATGATAGTAGGTTGAAGATGACCATCGTAGAAGGTATTTCGCTATGATGGTAGAAGTCTCCGATGATCAGAAGATACATGTAAGGTTAACATTCCAATGCTAAAGTCAGTCAATAAGAGACGTGGAATTCTCAAGTGACAGTGTGATTCATACATGGGCGTAACTCATTCACATTTATCTATGGGTGACATTCAAACTGTCACTAATTGATCCAACATGAGATGCAATAGATCGTTGGATGATGATCAAGAATTAAGATGATAATGAAGTTCTACTTCTATGCGACACTTTAGTATGGAGGTTCATCTATTCACCAAGTAAAAAGTAATGCCTTTGGTTGAATTGAGTCAGTCTTTTTAACCCTTTAGCCAATCTAGAACATAATTTTTTTTATAATGAGGCAACTAAGTATCTTTAACCTAAAGATATTCAAAGTGATTAACTTCAACTCACTTTTTTTTCCCTAACCAAATTGTGAATTGTCCTATTCTCCAATGCATTTCTTCTTTAAGAGAGATGAGATCAACTATGCAATAAATTTTAGAGATAAAATAAAATTTGATTTAAATAATTTCTTTTATAAAATATTATTTTTGATATATCACCCTTTTATTGTAATTTTTTTAACATCAACATTTCAAAAAATCATTATTAAAATATATTTTTAAAAAATTAAAATTTTTGGATATATTTATATTTTTAATAACATATATTTATGTTACTGAATGTCAAAATTAATATTTTAATTTATTTAAATAAATTAAATTTAAATTTTACCATTTAAAAATTAATTTCCATAAAAAGTATTTTTAAAAAAATACAAAAAATCTATTTTTAAAGGTAAATCAAACCGTTTAAGACTCTTAAACTTTTTCATCTATAACATTAAGTATAATAATATAATAAATTTTTACTAATTTAATAAAAATAAGACTATTTTAATTATAATTTATATACAATCAATACTTTTTAATACAACCACATATTTAAAATGTGTTAAATATATTTAATATAGAACTAATTTAGATAAGCAAAAATCAAACCCTTGACAAATAAACACTTGTTTACCTGGAAAATGACTCAGAATAATATAAAATAAAAAATCTATATAATAAAAAATACAGTGTTGTGTTGAATCTGTTGATGTAAAATTATTTGTAGAAAAAAAACATTTTTCTTAAATTGCGTATATTATAAACGTAGTAGTATTAATCAAGCTCTTTAACCCAAGACTCGAAGAACCCATTGATAAACAACTCGAGAAAGAAAAAAGCGGTTGAAATTGGAGCAACTGCCAACCGTGCAGTTCCGTCGCTTGCAATCGGAAAACGAAGAGAGCGATAGCTCCCATGGCGATGACAGTGCACGGTTCGTACTTTCTATTTCAAACTATTTATATTCATTCTCTTTTACGCGATTCCCGTTTTTATTACAAAATTAGGGCATAATCATTCTCACTTCCATCACCAATTGTTGCAACTGCTTTCTCTGCCACAAGCAGATTAAGCTAATCCCCATCGTAATCGTGTTATGTTTCAAACAAATTGTATGTATTATACTAAGGATTTATGCGTGCTTTTAGTTTGCAATTTTTCTTTCAAGCTTTTTCTTCAATGTATATATTTTAATTATTTTACTGATTTTGTTTTGTATCTGATGTTGCAAATTGGTGTTCTGGGGCTGTTCATGTCTTTACAGTGTAAGTTGGAAACTAAACTTTGAGCTTTGTTTTATGATCGCGATTATCTAGCAGATTAAGGCTAATTAACCTTTAACCTTTTTGCTTTTTTTTTGGATGTGTAGCCTTGCTGGGTTGGCTTTTATGTTTTCGGCTAGCATTTTGCTACAGATTCTGGTATGTCTTTAGCGATGAGACTGATTGTGCTTCTTTTATATACTTGAAATGAATTGAGTGATGTCTATTTGCTGGCTTTTTTCCACTTCATGATTGTGTTTCCTCCAAATTATGTTTGTTAAATTTTATTATCTATGAATATTTTTGGATTATGCTGTTTAATTTTGATTTGTAAGTAAATGAAAAACAATAGAAGTAATCTTCTAGGTATCATATAGTATTTAGACCACACAAACTGTTTGATGCTTATTTAAATCTCGGGTGAAAAATCTATATATTACATCCATCTAATGAAACTGAAAAATCACAACATTTTCCTAAAAAGTATAATTGATGAGCCATTAATACAGGTTGTTTAACCTTGCAACATAGGTGCCATAACACACTAAATATTTTGTAGTCATATTACATTTAAACTTATGAATCTTGGTTTCTATTGGAAAGAACCCAAACATTGGTTAAAGATAGAGCTCACAAAGGGTTTATATAGAGCGACACCCCTCACCTTACAAGCCAGTTTTGTAGGGATGAATTGGACCAAACTCTAATTCTATCAGTTTCATTTACAATCAAGTTTTGTTATGAACTTAAAGATGCCAACGACCAAATTGGATTTACAGGCTATAACAGGTTTGAAAGTTTTAGATGGGAAATAAAGGAATGAGGAAGGGAAGGAGGGGAGGAAATCTTTCTATTTAAAAAGTAAGGGCACAAAATGAAATGAAAAGAGTTGTAATTTTAAAATTTAACATAGGATAAGAGTAAATGAATAGGATAAAAATTCAACCAAACCAATGTTACAATAAGTAAAATTCTATTTGAGTCTTGTGAGTATGTGAGACCATGATCCCATATTAAGGCAGGTTTTTAAATCCAGCCTCTGCTTCTGCATAGGTTCTTATTCTTAACACTTCAGACCTTATTGGATTTTTTAATATTCATATTAGTTAGGAAGAGGAGAATATACAAATTCTGTTTTATTAGAAAGTAAATAGGGACAATCCCTAATTACAAAGATAGAACTGCAAAACTTCAAATGTTTGCAAACCTCCCTGTCCAAAGTCCCCAATACTCTTTCAAGTTAAAGTCAGTATCCCTCTTGTCTTTTCCTATTAGTTAAGGGCAACTTGCTTCATTTTGTATTACTCTCTCACTACAAGCAATTTGACTAAACAGACAATCATTACTTTACACCACAGACTTAACCTTGTTCTCAAGGTGATAGTTTGTCTCTTTCCTTTGCACTGGCTGAAAACTTATCCCCTCGATGGTCTGAAAGACTGAAACTAATGCAACTATCCAATTGGCTTTTCTATTTGTGGTTGGTTACCAAATAATTGACTCCAACCTTTTGTTCCGACTTTTGATATTGACTTGGCTGGCAACGTCACCAATCACCATCTCATAAGGGCCAATGAAATCAAATTCTGCTTTCCTCTACATCATGCTTTGGACCGCTTAATCACATGCCTTCCTCTACATCACACTTTAGAGACGGCTAAATCAACTTCTTGCTCTCAACGTATCATCCCCACTGCCTCTGGATTTTAAATGGAAATGTTATATGTGTGATGACCAGAATCAAGATTTTACTCTAGAAATAATTGCCGAGTTCTGAGAATAAAATAAATTTTTGTTTAATTCCCATTCCATCCCTCCCTCTTCCTCTGCCTTCAAGAACTTTCTAGTTATTACAACCACCTTAATTTGGGATTAATCTACCATTTTTTCATCAGCCACTGTACAAGGAATATGGTCTGGTGGTTCTGGCCATGGAGGCTCCATTAAAAAAGTACAAGACCCATTGGTTTAATCACCACTTGTGATCTATCCATATTCTTGAACAAATTATGATTTAATGGTGGAAGCTTGGCCTGAACCATTTGGCCAACTGGGGTCAGTTCCATTTGCCTTTCTTTTCCCGTTCACCCAATCAAGAAATTTGCTCGCTCTTTTTCAAATTTCTCTTATAGAGCAACCTTGGTCTGTAAAGGATATTTTGTCTCTTCCCAATGTATTGCAGTTTTTAAGCCTCCATTCTCTACCCTAGAACCGGAGGTTCTGATTTCCTAATCTAGACCAGAAAACAATCTTTCTTTCCCAACTCAGATAATAATGGTTCTGGTTCCCAATTCCCATAGACCCAACTACTTATACAGTTTGATCAAAATCATATTCAGGTTGAAAACATTTGGTTTGAGCCTTCACAAAGGCCCATCAAGTGGCATGATTGAATTGATTCCAATGTTGATACTAAATGAAAGTGCCTTCTTAGCCTCTTTGCTTCGAGTGTTACATTAAAACAAAACAATGTTGATCAGCCACCTATCTGAGTCTTGTCCGTCAAACTCTGAAAGGCTGGATCCATCTTGGTTTTGCCACCCACATCTTCTAGATTGGAGCTCTGATACCAAATTGATAGGAATAATATTTTCTATAGAAACAATAGAGGAAGTCAAAGAATAAAACCAATTTTTGAAAAAAAAGCAGGAAAATACAAAAAAAAGAAAAACATATAGGAGAAGCAAGAACTAGGTATGGCAACGGGGCGGGTCGGGGACGATTTTTACCTCCCCTAAACCCGAACCCGAATCCGCAAACAATCTCCGTTCTCCGCCCCAAATTCAAATGGGGATGAAGAATTAAAACCCAAACCCGTCCCAAACGGGTTCGGGTATCCCCACCCTGCCACCATTCATTTAGTAAAATCAATTTTTTTAATAGAAAATATTTATTTTTTCCAAAATCAAATTACATTTCAAATAATAAAAAAAAAATCTCAAAGAAAATTCTTACATACATTTTAAATAATTAATACAAATCAAAATATCAAAACATTGGCCACATATTTAATATTTCAAATTAACAAAATTAAATAATAATGTACATAATAAAATAAACGGGACGGGTTTGGGGTGGGTACTAGTGTCCCAATTACCCGACCCATATATTTTTTAATCGGGGAAAAGGGCTGGAAATGAGTCGAGTCGAACTCATCTCAGCTTGGCTCGACTCGTTAAGAATTGTTCGAGTTCGAGTTTGGCACGAACTTTTTTTTAAGCTCAAACTCGACTCGTTATAAGTTCACGAACAGTTCGGCTCAACTCGTTAGGTTCATCTCATTAGGTTCAGCTCACATGATTCACGAACTTAAAAACTATTTTTTTTAAATATATATATTTTTTAGTATATTTGACATTTTAAATAAATATATTTTTTTAAAATAAAATATTAAAATAAAATAAAAGTTATCATATTGAAATTTAACTTTATTTTCGAAATCTACTAATTCAAAACCTACACAACTTTCAAGAGATACATTTGAGAGTCTAATTCAAAAACTACTAAATTGAAGATTAAATTTGTCTAAGATTTGGAGTAAATATTTAAACCTAACCTTAAAGACAGTATAATTCTTCTCATATGTAATCGAGTTGACTCATGAACCTAACGAGTCGAACTATGTATAGTTCAAGTTCAGCTCATTTAGTTAACGAACTTAATTTTTCGCTCGTACTCAACTCATTTGGTTCATGAACCTAGTGCAACGATTTAATTGTCGAATCGAATTTCAAACTATTTTCGAGTTGGTTCGGTTCATTTCCAGCCCTACCGGAAAACTCAATCCTAGTCAAAGCGGGTTTTTCCCGTCAACTTCGGGGCGGGTTCGGGTGTGTACCCGCGAGTATGGGTTTTGTTGCCATGCCTAGCAAGAACACTACACTTCCTCTATGTCTAAGCCTCTTAGAATTCCCTTATTGATGCCTGTTCCAGTCCTACACTCCCTTCATCATTAATTTGCTGCCACCTGTCCATTCAATTAGGTTCCTTCCTTATAGACTCCTCCACTCCACCTCAATTCCTATCCCACCCTGTCATTTCTACCACTAAGTCCAACAAGGAATTGCTTGGGATATTATTTGACTGTAAAGGAATAGCTCCTTTAGAGAATACAAGTATGAGCACCTTCATGCTTACAAGTGTAAAATAAAATAACAAAACTCTGCTAAAAAAATAACTTCATACTCCCACCGGCCACCACCACTATCCCCTTATATGAAATAACTTCATTCCCAATGCTAACTAACTTGGAGCATTTCCTTTCTACCTCTACTAGAAACTTTCCAAACCTTGGGGTACAGACCCGTGACTGAGCTGAACCACCATAAGCCCTGTTTCCATTGACCCAGCAGTTTTTCTGCTAAAAACAATATCATTCCCGTTATTAAGACTACCATCAGTATTATCAATTGTGGATGGTAGACTATGGTGACTAGCCAAAAATCCGGGATATAAATATGGCCAGTGTTTGGGCATATTGCAAATAGAATAATTCTTTTTTACATGCCAAAGAAATTGCAGAAAATATTTACAAAAGAAACAACCAATGCATATCATAACTAGTAACTACTAATTGTCAAAAAATAAGTCTCGCACCATCAAGTTCTTGCCTTCAGATAAGAAAAATTACACAACCAAAAATGAATGCCAGAGTATTCTTGAATTGGTGGAGAATTAGAGGACAAAACAAACAATCACTAACAGACACCTAATAGTAATAGTCATATAACAAAGAACATGTTATTACTTCAGCTTGATTTGTTTGAGCTATGTATTTAAAACATATGGTTTTAATTTTTAAGCTCTGAGTACTCATACTTGGAGGTCTCTGACCTGACTCAAAACTCATTGTGAGAGGATAGGTAGGATTTGATGACCTGGATTTGTGGGAGGATAAGTAGGATCTAACCTAAATATTGAATATGGAATACTATAGTGGCACATATAATTCTTCTCTGGTATGCTAAATAGTCATTTACTTTCAATTGTTAACGTATATTCCATTTGCTTTCTTTTTGATATGGCAGGCATGTGCAATATACAACAATTGGTGGCCCATGTTATCAGGTGAGTTAGTCTTTTATGCTGGAACTGAAAGTCCTGCTTTAGCTTGAAAATTTTAATAGTCATAGCATTGCACCTGCAGCTTTGATGTATGTGCTGGTGCCTATGCCTTGCTTATTCTTTGGAGGCGGGTCTACTCATTTTATGATGAGTCGTGAAGGTGGGGGGTAAGTATCTCTTGCGTAAAGTTCTACAGTTTTTTACAAAAATCATTTTGTGTTTAGCTAGCTTTAGGTCTATATGCTGTTCTGTTTTATGCAACTGGTTTTTTTACACTGATCTGACCTTTCCAAGTCAATGTGAACACACTCAACGGAAAATATAATATATGGTATTATGTTGTAGTTGGATGGATGCTGCAAAGTTTTTGACTGGAGCATCAGCTATGGGGAGCATAGCCATTCCTATAATCCTTAAGCATGCTCACATGATTGAGACTGGGGCAATGCTCATCGAGCTTGTATCGTTCTTCATATTTATATGTACAGTTATGTGTTTCCACCAAGCGAGCCTCGACGATGATTGGTAATAACAAATTCCATACTGCTGATGTCCTGTTAGTCATTAGGGTTTGTTACCTTAAAATGGAAAACAAAGTAGTGACATTTATTATACAGCCTTGGAACACAGAAGTGTATGATCGAACATCTGTAAATCTCTGCCAGTAATTGCTTTTTCATCAACTTATACTCCTATTCAAGTCAGAAGTTAGATGATTTTAGCACAGTAATTGCTTTTCCATTTTTCATTTTCGGAAGCTCTGCCAGTAATATTGCTTTTCCATTTTTTTTAAGTGAACAATTCATAATAAAATGAATAATATCAATTATTAGTAAATGTTAGATATATTACAATAAAATGTGTTTGTTAAAATGGTTAGAGTATAAATATCAATGCCATGTCATTGTTTCTTCACGAAAACCAAAGTTTTTTGTGAGAAATTGATGGATGTTTGAAGATTTTAACTGTCCTTTAATTTGCCAACGTTGTTCTGCAAGAGAACGTTTCTCATTACTTCTTAACCATTAAAGTTGAATTAAAAATTATATATAATTAAATGTAAGGTATTTGGTGGGATCTATTTTAAAATTTTTTATGGGTTATATGAATATTAAAAAAATATAATTGAGTTGTTTAAAAAATATTAAAGTGGAATATAATATAAAAAATTACGTGAATCCTATCTAAAGAATTAAAGTGGAGATAACATGGATGGATGCTCTTAGAGATTAGAATCTCTATTTTAACTAATTGTTATATATTGTATGCGGGGATGCTCTTAGTAGTGAAAAATCACCATTACATTCGGAAGTATACTCTTCCACATTCAAAATACACTATCTCCCTTTGTAAGTGACCAATCTATCCCATTTTGTCAAAAATAAGATTGGCTTCTTTTTTTTTTTTAATGTGAGCAACCCATCTCTTTATGTCAAAAATTAGTTTGGAAGTGAAATGGTGAATCTGTACGTGTACATTCATAATAACCCTACACGTTTAGAATTTATGGTAGTGTGTTTCACGATTAACGAAATATACTTACGTGCAGTAAATTTGTTATAAATTTGATATGTGTATTCTTAATTTTTTTATATTTTAGGTCATTTATATTAAATATACATGATTGTTAGAGTATTCAATTAAATCATATAACGGTGTAATTCAATTAAAATATTATAATCCCTTTTGATCCTCATTTTTTGATATTTTTTAAATTTTTAATCCTTATATTTTAAAAATTAATTTTTTCTTTCTGAAGTTTTTTTTTTTAAAATTTTGTTGGTCCCTCTCGAAATTTGCAAATAATTATTAGGATAAAAAAAAGAAAATTAGTTAATATATGGTATTAATGACTAGAATTAAAAAATAAAATAATAACATTAAAAAATTTTAGAATACTATTTAACATCAATAAAAAATATTCTATTTAAAAAATAAAAGCTAAATTAAATTTAAAAAATTTTTAACTATACTTTTTCTATAGATAAAATACTTTTTCTATGTTATTTCAGAATTCTTGAAAAATTAATTAATTAATTGAAAATTAAAAAATAAATTGTGGTCATAGAAAGTTAACCCATAACTGAGATAACAACCCTGAGCAGAAATTTGATTTTATTGTTGTTGTTATTTCAATTTCAATTTCCCTTATTCTCACTAATTGCTTTGAATTTGAAACCTTTATTTTATTGAAATTGAACATTGATTTGATTTTATTGTTGTTGTCATTTCAATTTCAATTTCAATTTCAATTTCAATTTCCCTTATTCTCACTAATTGCTTTGAATTAAGAATTTTGAATTTGAAACCCTTATTTTATTGAATTTGAACATTGACCCAGTGCTTTTGCCCAAGAGAAATGAAAACGCTGCTACTACCCCAAAAAATCTTCAAATAAGTCATAGATATCTGGCTTTAGATAACAGGGTTTCTTTCTAAGTTGCGTAGATATAAAAATCTTCAAATATGTATGTAGCTCGTACTCAATACGGATATTGATACGTAGTACAATATTTTTAGAGAAATTAAAGTATAAGTGCGTTAGTATAATTTTTTAAATATAATTATAAAAATAATAAATGAGTTATATTATGTAAATAAAAACAAAATATTGATATTAAAAAATAATTAACTTAAAAAAAGTTTATATATGCATAATAAAACAAATAAATAATATTTAAAAAGTATCAATAAATTTTAAATTATAAAATTATAATTGAATATTAATATTTTCTTTTTCAATATCATTAAAAAAAACAGCTTCTAGTTCAAGTTCACCCAGAGAAAGATTAGCAACTTCGAGAATATCATTTCCAACAAATTGATTTCATTCATCTCTATCAATATTCCATATTTTTGTTGCTAATTTATTATAAAAGTTACTATTTCTCAAGAGAAAAAAGAGATTTGTATGAACAAAAACTAAATTCTCAGTTCTCTTTGTATTGAACTTATTCTTTTACAATAAGAGAGTAAATTCACACGTACTTCAATTTCTCTCAAAGATGAAAAATTTAGTTATAAAAGAAGTTTTTTTATTTATAAGTAGAATAGTTAACTTAATGAAAAAAATAGTTCAAATTATACCATTAGAAAAAAAAAAAATTGGATACGTGATACCAAATTTACACTATTAGATAATCAATTAAAAAAAAAGTACGGCTTCAATGCATACCAAAGGCATAGCGATATCATTACATATTCGATATCAATACTTTATTTAAAATGGTGTAAATCTCTTTCACATGTTGATATGTAAGATTAGGTGCTCTAATGTAGCAGAGAATTATTACCAAGCTATATAATTCAAATGTCACTGAAGCATTTAAGAACTTGAACCAGCCCAATCAGGTCAACAAACTTAAAATAAAATTAACTTAAAAAATCATCATTATTGGCTATAGGATATCTGAGATGCCGAGTTCCAACATCCAATATTATAAAATAGATCTTTCATAATAATAAATTATAATAGTACAATCATGGCAATAATTGAGGTGCTTTGTTTTTTTTTTTTTTATATGTATATTTATGAAAAAATATTATATTGTGGTCAAATTAATTAAACGGTCAAATTAATTAAACGTAATTATATATTTTCGAGTGACATGGTTCGCATCTCAACTCCAACAATTTTTTACTTTTTCGTTATAACGAGTGTTGTCCTTAGTGTATATATATATATATATATATATATATATATATATATATATATATATATATATATATATATATATATATATATATATATATATATATATATATATATATATATATATATATATATATATATATATATATATATATATATATATATATATATATATATATATATATATATATATATATATATATATATATATAAGTGGGGATCAACTTACTCCAAGAGTAAGTTTTTTTAACTTACTCCATATCATAGCCTTTAAATTGAACCTAATCTAGTGATTAAATTAACATTTTTACTTATAACCGTTCGATAAAATCTAATTTAAAGGTTATGATTGTGGAGTAAGTTATAAAAACTTACTATTGGAGTAAGTTGATCCACACACACACACACACACACACACACACACACATATATATATATATGATATTACCGAACAATCAGAATCTGAGATGGGGCAAAGACGAACGTCTGTGATGCTGAGTGTGCAAGAGGAGGAGGGTGTGTACTTGCAAGGCATTCCGATGCTAAAGTAAGAAAACGAGCAAGTGCAAAATATGTGTGTTTCAAGGTGAGAAATTGGATACCTGACCCTCTCAAGTGAGAGGGTTTTTATAATGCCCCCAACGCTTGGCCATTGGTCCCTATTTTCGGGGCGAGATAACCGTTTCCCAAAGAATAGGTAACTGCCAGAAATAGCCGTTGGGACGGGCAGACGTGCCCATAACTAGCCATTATGACGGGCATAGATACAGTTACGGGCACAAGCGTCTTGGTTGTTTCTGGATGGTGGAACCGTGCGTGACGGGCAGAGACTGACGGGGAGAAGTGTTGTGACCAAGGGTAAATGGGTCAGCCTCCCCCGTTGGAGGGGAAGAAAGGTAAATTCTCCCCCTAAAGAGGTTGGGCATAGGCAATTGGGTCGTTTTGGGAGCAGAAGTGGGTTGGGCCACGTCTAGCAATTGGGCCAGTCCGGAACTGTAGTCCCCCAAGTCGTTGCTACCGAGCACGGTAGTGATGACTTAAGGATGGTCTGTTTCCTGGGTAGAATCACCGTATGTTTCATCGTGTTCGGATGGACCCTTGCCCTCGGACGTTGGTGTCGGGGATCTTGAGATTCGTGGAGCCCAATGGTTAATGGGATCTGAAGAGTGGGGATGCCACGTGTGCCTCGAGCCGTGTGCTACATTAAATTCATGTAATGGCTAGGTTAGGGTCATGATGATGCCCTACGTGCGCGTGCTCGTGCACGTGCCTGGAGCTCGCCTATAAATAATGAGGGAATCCGTTCATTCAAAACTTTTACTTCCTTCTTCTATTGTGCCCGTCTCTACAACCGTCGTCCGCTGCCGTTAATTTTGCTTCGACCACCGTATGACGCCCGACCAGAACCGCATTCCTTCCAGTTCCTCTTCTTCGACCATGTAAGTGCACCAATCCTCTGTCTGTTCTTTATTTTTCCTTGTTTTGATGCTTTAGATCGCATGTGGTTAGGACTGAAACAACTTAGTTAGGGCGTGTTTAGTGGTGGCTGTTAGTGGTAGACGGCGGCGCGACCATCTGTCTGCCGCTGCCAGCGTAGTTGGCTCTTTTAGGAAGGGTAAGTTAACAACTCTTAAGCTCAGATGACTCGTGGTAGAGGAGACATAGTTGCGTTGCCGTTAGGTTTTCATGACCTCTGGTGATTTCCTTGTGAGGCCAGTGGACTTTGTGACCTTCCCCGATTGCTTAGCTCAGCCATTTGAGTAGGGCTTAGGTCGATGATGCTCTTCTTCGGCCCTTTGCGCACCCTTTCACTTAACTAGCAGTGGAAGGGTGGGTTTGATTTTGTCATTGAATTCACTATTTTCCTCTATTTTTCA